TAAGAGGTTCTGAAGCTCAGTGACATTCCTTGTGGCCAACGTTTGACCCAGTTAGTACTGGGGAGCAGATGAGTATAAAAGCAGTTTGCCTTTTCTCCTAGTAAACTCAGAATGGGATGAAAGATCTAAGTGTCAAGAAACCTGACACCTGCTTATTAGTTTCTCTTTTGCCCCTGGCTTACTCTGAATGGTCCACTAAGTCCTAGAAGAAGGAAGGCAACGGCTCTAAGTTATGAATGTATTCAGTCACGTAGACTGCAACCCCACAGCAGCCCCCGGCCTATGTCTGAAGAAACACCAGAGAAAAAATGACCCACGATACATGCCAAGGGACCATACTTTTTCTTCGCCACTTAGCTACAGAGAATAAAATCTAGTTTAGATCCAGATTTTTTTTTAATTGGGAGTCTTTTAATGACTTGATGAATTTCTTTTGATATAGGTCTGTTCGAGTTTTCCACTGCAGGCTGTGCTAGGTAAGTCTTGTGTTTCAAGGAATCTGTCCATCAAATTTGTTGGAATACAAATCTTTGTAGTGTTGCTATCCTTTTTCTCTTGGTTCTGTTGTGATATTTCTTATTTATGCTCTTTGCATCTGCTCCTTGTCTTTTGCTAGATTTTCCAGTGGTCTATAAAGTTGATTCTTTCAAAGAACCAACTTCTTGTCTTGCTGATTCTATTTTGTTTTCTAGTTCATTGATTTCTGTTCTAAGGAAGCAGTAGGATTCCTTTGTTGTTCTTTTTCTAATTGTTGGCGATGTTGGATTAAGGTGCTAAATTTGGTTCTTACTTCATTTTGAATGTGTGCATTTATTACTATAGCTTGCCCTCTAAACACTACTTTGGTTGTGTCCCAAAGGTTTTAAGGTATGTTGTGTTTTCATTCTTGTTGTAGAAATTGTTTTTCTATTTTCCAGTAGCTATTAAGCATGGTGTATCAATTTCCATGTATTCAATTATTTTTCCTTGATCTTCCTATTGATTTCTTTTACTTTTATAGCATTGTGATATCCTTTCAACTATAAAATTGTGTTGTATGATTAATAGGATTGTGATATCCTATTAATTTTATAGCATTGTGTTGCATCCAGAATTTTTGACCAGGCAAAAAATATTGAAGATCTAAGAAATCAGTGTAAATTTACTGCTGGTGGCAGACTTCGACCTGGAAGCATCTTGGGCGGGCATGAGCAGCACTGCCCTTTCACTTTAAGCCAGTGCCCAGCAGGAGTCAATTTCCTGAATGGAGATTACACTTTACAACACAATGGGAGTGGGAACTGGGTCATACTGCTGCTGACTTTGGATTTGTTCAAGATATTGAAGTAGACTCTGGGATAGATTTTCTTCTCTTTGCCTTTGTGCTAATAACTGGCATGGTTCTAGCATTTAATATCTATCAACCATCTGGATCTTTCAAAACCAGTTCACTCATGTTTTCTCATGTATCTCCTTTCTTCCTAAGAATCTCTCCCTCTACCTACACCCCCTGTAACCTCCAAAAAGGATAAAGTTTGTTGTTTGGTTGAATTTATTCCAAGTTCTGGGTCTGTAATAGAATCAGATGCCAACAAAGAAGGAATCATATAATCAGTAACTAAAATAGACCATGGCTACTACAATAGGCTCAAACATTGAAATATTATGAGAATGGCAAAGAACCAGGCAGTGTTTCCTTCTGTTGTACATGGGTCATGAGTCAGAACTTACTCATGGCACCCAACAACAAAATACTGGAGGATTCCACTTCTAATGTGAAGGGGCAAGTGAGTTGATCTCAGCTCTGAGAAACAACTCACTTATTGGGTTGATTCTACTCACAAGTGATTTTCCTTAGGAGAAAAGACATTGCATATGCAGAAACTGCCCTGGGCCAGAAACCTTATTCACTCAGGGGTTCAACTATGAGTCCTAGGACTCCAGCAAATCACTTTGGAGGGATGGGCTCCATTTGGCTATTGGCAAACTGAGTGTTAATCTAGGTAAAAAGTTTTCAACTAAGGGAACCCCCGCCCCAATCTCCTCTATCCCACCCCCGTAGGGAGCATTTGACAATGTCTAGAGACATTCATAAGGAGCTGTGGTAGCATAGTGGTTATGAATTGGGCTGCTAATCTCACGGTCAGCAGTTTGAAACTACCAGAAGTTCCATGGGAGAAAGATGAGGCTTTCTGCTCCCATAAAGATTTACAACCTCAGAAACCCTGTATAGGGTCGCTATGAGTCAGAATCGACTCCACAGAACCTAACAGAGACATTAGTGAGGTGCTGTAGGATAAGCACTGAACAGCTAACAAAATAGGTGGTTCAAACCCACCAGAAAACCCTATACAGGATCCCTATGAGTCAGAACTAACTTGACAGCACTTAATGAGACATTTTTGGTTGTCACAACTGGAGTGGCACCTAGCATCTAATGGATAGAGACCAGGGATGCTTTTAAGCATCCTCTGATTCACAGGACAACCTCTCCCATGCAACAATTATCCAGCCCAAAATACCAATAGGTGCCTTCTAGTATTCAATTTCTCTGAAAATTATGGGTGATCTGTGGCCCCCCCTTTGAGGATCTCAAGACCATTAGATCAGCTTCAGAGGGCTTTACCTGAGGACTATTGCTGATGCTTCAGACTTTACAGCACCACATTTTTTCTAGAAAGAAACCATCTGATGCACTGGAATTATTTCATCTAAATGACTACTCTGCCAATACATTGTTCATATACCTATAATTACTACCTCCTTCCACAAGTTTTTATTTTACTCTAGTGGCACTGAGGGTAAACACTGGACTGCTAATTGCCAAGGTGTGCAGTTCAAACTCACCAACCGCTCCTCAATAAGCTTATACAAAACCAACTTGATGGCACTTTACAAATCTTTTCAGATGTGAGTTGGTAGATCAAATGAAAAATCTCTCACAGGCACACACCCAAAGGCTCTTCACTGCCATTCACACTTTCACCTCTATTACTTTAGGGAAGGAAGCGGAATACACACACAAACCGTAATGTCTAAAGGTGACCAAAAGTGGCCCCACTTCAAAGTTTATTTTCACATGATTCTCTGCATACAGTGTACTTTCTTGGGAAAATAACTTTGCCTCAGTTCAAAGTATAAATTAATTTACAAATATAGAATTGTGTTAGAAACAGTACTTATAAAAGTCCATACAAAAACATTCATAGAAACTGTTTTTTGCTGTATATAGTATGTTGTTGTTGTCAAGTACCGTGGAGTCGGTTCCAACTCTTAGTGACCCTGCACAGGGTTCCGAGGCTGTACATCTTTATGGGAGCAGAATTCCTCATCTTTCTCCCGCAGAACCGCTGGTAGTTTCGAACTGCTGACCTTGAGGTTAGCAGCCCAATTCATAACCCCTACACTACAGTAACGTTTCTCTTTGGTTTTCTTTTTGCATCATTTTAAAAAGTAACGCTGATGTAATATATACCTAAAAGCTGATTTATAAAAATAATTTTTGGTATGTATAATTCAAAAAAATTTAAAATTCTTTTACAATATGCTTGTTTCTTTTTCTTAAAAACCACAGACCAGTAACATTCACATCAAAGTTCCAAAACATGGTACAAAGGCAAATTGTAGGACACCATCTTCATTTTAACGGAATGCTGTTCTAGTACCTCCAACAACTACTTGCGTTTTAATGGAACACTTTTTGACTGAATTAGCAAACACAGGCTGAGTATTAGGTATGTATCAGGCACTGTGCTGGGCAGTAAGAGGATTACTGTAAAAATGTATTCAAATGGAGATACATCTTTTAGGAGTGAAAGGGAGAGCTAAAATAAATAAAATTTTGACTGTAAATGATTTTACTGTTTTAAATAACTGTAAAAATTCTGTTCAAAAACAATTTCTAGTGAAGTCCCAATAATGCTTTCTTTAAAAACAAACAAACAAACAAACAAAACTCCAGGGCACATGCTGAAGAGCACAGCGCCCGGCTATAGCTGTCATAAACTAGGGAGACAGTCACACTAGACCTTAGTTATTGGTGTGAAGTAGCATTGGATCGGTTCCAGTTCCAACTCGTAAGTCAGAGGTAGTATCTCCCCCCTTTGTTGCTCAGGGAAACATTTGAGTATTATTTCACTCAGAATCTTTGGTCAGAAGAGAACAAGCTCTGTTCCTACCCACTATACATTGACATTTGCCTGTGGAGGATGGTTTCTTCATTTTTCAAGTTCCGAGCACCAGTTCTGGAGCCGGACTGGAAATGACAGTGTGACCTTGAGCAACTTAGCTAACATCTGGGAGTTTCACTTCCCTCATATGGACAATGAGGAGTAATCATACCTACGTCTCCCAAGGCTGTTGTGAGGACTGAATGGGTTAATACACATACATTACCTAGCACAAGTGTCCCAGGGCTTGTTTTTAGTTTCATTGCTATTAATATCTACCATGACCAGACACAGAGGTGATTCAGGAACTGGATTCGTGGTGTTCCCTAGGATCGTATGTAGATGCAAAGGACAAAAAGTTGGCAGTTTCATATAATAATCCAGATATTTGAAGGCTACCATGCAGGTGATATCATCAGTTACCCACCACTGACTTACTGGTTAGTCACAATCGTGCCCCATAGATTCGGTTGCCATTTGTAATTGCTTTCTTCCCCCGACCCCTTCTACAACTCCATTCACGTATGTTGTTTAGCTGGCCCCCAGTACACATTTAAACTAATAACCCACATATAGGACAATAGACAAACCAGATATAGTCCCTGCCCTTAAAAAGCTGCTACTCCAGAAGAGCATGAGGAGAATTCTCTGAAGGGAGGCCCAGACCCAGAGAAACCTATTAAAACTTTGCTGGCTTGTAGAAACAGTTGCCTATACCCTTGCTACTCCAAGTGAGGGTCAATGAACCACAAGATCACCTGGGAAGCTCCAGGGAATCAGACCTACTGAATTGGAAACTGTACTTTTAACAAAATCTCTAGGTGCAGATTAAAAAGTCTGAAAAGTATTGCTCTACACTTCAGAGCCCTCACGGGGATAGATGAGGCTGTTGACCATGCTGAAGTTGTAGAACGGGCTGCTGAAGGGGCTACTTTGGCCCCCGCTGGCGCTGGCAGGAAAAGGGCTGTAATAGGAGGATCTCTGGCCGCTGCTGCTGCTAGTACTGTTACTCAGCTGCAAGGTGTCTGGTGAAGCTTCTGAGATAGAGCTGGTGGGGAATGAGCTGCTGGAAGGCAGAGGGGTCCCCTGGATCCCTAGGTGGCGGCTGCCAGAGAGCGCTCGCTGGGTGCTCCCACTGCTGCTGATGTTTAAGGTGCTGAGACTGCTGAAGAAGGTATTGAGGCAAGGGGTAGAGGTGAGCGAGGACACTCCTGGAGATGAGGCAGTACTCTTGGTGCCCTCGGGAGGTTCCGGTGACTGGGAAGCTCTTAGCAAAGAAGAGGAGGGGCTGTCTCTTTCTGGCTTCACTCCCATTCCAGCTCCTAATCCTGAGGAAAGCACTTCTTCTGATTTGGATGTCCCTGTGACTACTGGGGAGCTGCTGCTGGCCTCGGTGCGGCGCTTTCGCTTCCGACGGAAGTTGCCATTGTCAAACATTTTCTCACAGTTTGGATCCAGGGTCCAGTAATTACCTTTCCCTTAAAGATGAGAAGAAAAACATGAGTCAGACAAGGATCTGTTTTATGCCTGGTGCTTGCAAGCAGTTAATGTGCTCAGCTGCTCACCAAAAGGTTCACAGTTCAAATCTCCCCACAGGCACCTTGAAAGAAAAACCTGGCAATTTCTTCTGAAAACTCAGTATTGAAAAGCACATGGAGCACAGTTCTAATCTGACACACCTGTGTCCCCATAAATTGGGGTCAACTCAACAGCAATTGTTTGGTTTGGTTTGTTGTTAAGTACTGCCAAGTCAGTTCGACCCATAGTGACCCTGTTTAGGGTTTCTGAAGAACGGGCTAGTGAGCTTGAACCACCAACCTTGTGGTTCAAACCAACTTTGCAGTCTAGTACATTAACCCACAGTGCCACACTAGGACTCCTTTTTTGGTTAATATGGCTTCAATTCTGGGAAGAGGAAAGCAAATTCCTATGAAATGCTGACAAAAATGCTAGACTCACTCCATTAACTTTATCCTCTCTTTGAAGGAGATTTTATTCTTTCCCTCAAGTGGAAATTTAAAACAAAGATGTTCTAGTCTATTTGCTACTTAAATCTTAAGATCTAATTCCATTCCTGGTGTGCCGCTGTGGTAGACTACAAAGCCGTTTGAACTGCAAGGTTGGCAGTTCAAGCTCACCAGTTGCTCCTCGGAAACCCTATACAGGGTCGCTATGGGTCAGAATTGACTCGGCGGCACTTGACAACAACAACAACAAAAATTCCATTCCCAAGGCACTTACAACTCAATTGTCCAACACCTTTCATTATTCTAGATCCAAATTCTGTACCTTTGCAAAATTGTGGAATTCTGGGACTAAATTTGTATCTCTATTTATAAAAATATGGATGCTGATAGTACCCCTTTTGTAAATTGACTATGAGGATGCAATTATATTTTAGAATAGCAGCTGGCACAAAGCAAAGCAGTAAAACACTATCTTATGATACTTATCATAGTGTGACCCTATATGACAACAGAACTGCCCCATAAGGATCCCCAGACTAGAATCTTTATAGGGAGCAGATGGCCAGGTCTTTTCTCTTGAGCTGTTCTTGGATAGGTCCAAACCTTCAATATTTTAGTAAACAGTCAAATGTTTAATAATTGCAGTATCAGTACCTCATTGGAAAAAAAAGAAAAAAAAAGGCAACCTCACATACCTGATCCTCTTGCCAACAAAAATAGTTTTAAAAATTACTGATTATTCCACTGTTTCAATATAGCCTTGTTATGTGCCATCGAGTCGGTTCCAATTCATAGTGACTCTGTATAGGGTTTCTGAAGAGCAGCTGGTGAGTTTGAATCACCGACCTTGTTGTTCAAACTGATTTTGCAGTCCAGCACATTAACCCACAGTGGATAGGCTTGGCTGTTGTATATTTAGAGTACAAGGAAACTGGTGTGTACATCCCTCTCAAACATTTGGCAGAACAGGATCCTGCATCTGTCACATTTTTGGTCCACTGTGCAAATCTTAAGAGACCACGGCCTCATTTCAAGCATGCAATACTATTCTTCTGCTTAGAAAATTTCCCTCACTAGCTAACTGGATTCAGGTAGAACACTGAAGGATTTTAGCTCCCAACACCTTCTGATGTTTGAAATCACTGTTAAATACTTATTTGTATTGAGCATATTATAGGATGTGATATCGTCAGTTCTTCCCATGGCTCTATATAGACAGGCACTATAACTATCCCTATGGTAGGACAGACAAGCACTGGACGGACAAGGTCAGCAGTTCAAACTCACCAGCTGCCTCTTGGAATCCCTATTCAGGGTCACTATGAGTCGGAACAAACTGCATGGCACTTAACATCACTGCCCCGATTTTTCTGGTGGAAAAACGGGTGCAGACAGCATATAATGCATCATATTCCCACAGTGAAAATAGGAAAGCCTGGATGCAAATGGAATCAAGAAAACTCTGTGGAGCACAACTCCACTCTAACACGAATCCAATCTACCTCCTGATAACTGGATCCTCCCCCTTTAAAGGGCCCCACTATACTCAGATCTTTGAACCTTTCAGATGAAGTCCAAAGGAATTTGTGACAATTTACATGATAATCTGAGATGTAGAGGCTAAATCAGAAGGTATGTCTTCTAGAACTACCATCGTGGTGGCAGTGGTGGTGGTTATGTGCCAGTTATTGTGGTGGTGGTGGTGGTAAAGCGCTGTCGAGTCGATTCCGACCCATAGTGACCCTGTATAGGGTTTCCAAGGAGCAGCTGGTGAGCTTGAACCACCGACCTTGCAGTTTAAACAACTTTGCAGTCTGGCACATTAATCCACGGTGCCACACACCAGGACTCAGTGGTGGTAGTTACGTGCCGTGGAGTAGGGTTTCTGAGGTTGTAAATCTTTATAGGAGCAGAAACCCTCATCTTTCTCCCACAGACAGCTGGTGGTTTAAACTGCTGACCCTGAGCTTAGCAGCCCGATTTGTATCACTACAATGCCCTGCCTATTGTTAAGTGTCGTGGAGTGAGTTCAGACCCACAGTGACCCTTTATAGAGTTTCCAAGAAGTTGCAACTGGTGAGCTGGAACCTTTCGGTTCAAATTGACTTTGCAGTCCAGGGAAATCGGTTTTAACAGCAGTACTTGAAATGGGGCCAGTACAAACTGAGATGCGTTTAAAATAGTGGATTATGAGTTGGGCTGCTAACCTCAAGGTCAGTTCGAATCTACCAGTTGTTCTGCTCAAAAAAGATGAGTCTTTCTGTTCCCATATAGAGAAATGTAAATGTTTACAGGAGCAGAACACCTCATCTTTCTCCCACAGAACCGCTGGTAGTTTTGAACTACTGACCTTGAGGTTGGCAGCCCGACTTGTAACCACTACACTATCAGAGCTCCTAACTCAGAATCAATTTGGCACCGGGTTTTAGTTTGGCTTAGCATCAAAAAGGACTCCTGTGTATTGCTGTGGGTTAATGTACTGGACCTGCAAGGTTTGTATGAACCACAAGGTGGGCACTTCAAATTCAACTGCTCCTCAGAAACCCTATACAGGGTTACTAAGGGTCAGAACTGACTTGATGGCACTTAACAGTATCAAAAAAATAGGGTAAAATATATCAAACTTTATACTGATTACATGTTCAATATTGGAGGTATTATTGGTTGAGTAAAATAATACATTTTCAATTTCACCTGTTTACTTTTAAATTTTAATGACTAGCAAATTTGTACGTCTGGTAGAGTGCTAAGGATCAGCACAGGACTGTGAATCACAAGACCAGCAGCACCTTAGAAACCCTAAAAAGGCTTTCTATTTCTATCACAGAAAGCACTTAAAACAACTAGAAACTTTACAAGCAACACACATTTTATAGGCAGGGAATAGCCCCTCCCCCCATTGCCCCGGGCTCCTTTGTAAAACTCCAAGTAGGTTTTCTTTTGCTCTCCAGTTTGTTTGTTTTTTTTTTTTGTTGTTTTTAAATAAGTTTTTCTGTTCCCATGTCTCAGAACCAGGTAAGACAGAGACACCACTGTAGTCTGTTTCTCCTCAACCCAGGAGTTATTAGTCTTTGATACTAATTCAGCAAATCCTGAAATAGTTAAGATACAAAAAACACAAGTTACAGGACTTAGCTACATTTCCCCTATCCCTTTGCCTCATGATGCTTGTGCCACTATCAAAACCTCTCTCCCCAGGTAGGCAGGCTACAAGCAGGGTACTTGTTCTATTCAGGACAGATACTCTTAGCCTGCCACTGTGAGAGGTGATGGGATTTTCCGTTTACCTAAATCCCTTTATTCTAACTTGCAGGAGTGGGGAATTTTTTTTTTTTTTTTGCCAAGGACCATTTGGATATTTATAACATTATTCATAGGCATACAAAATTATCAACTTAAAAAAGTGGTTACGAATCGGGCTGCGAACTGCAAGGTCAGCAGTTCGAAACTACCAGCTGTTTCGCGGGAGAAAGATGAGGCTTTCTGCTCCCGTAAAGATTTACAGCCGCGGAAACCCTGTACAGGGTCGCTATGCGTTGGAATCGACTCCATGGCACACAACAACAACAGTAGGAGCTCTGGTAGCGTAGTGGTTACGAATCGGGCTGCGAACCTTAAGACCAGCAGTTCGAAACTACCAGCCACTCCGCGGGAGAAAGCTGAGGCGTTCTGCTCCCCTAAAGATTTACAGCAGCCTCAGAAACCCTGTACAGGGTCGCTATAGGTCGGAACCGACTCGATGGCACTTAACAACAACAACAACAACAATAGTATTAATGCATCAGTCCGCAAAGTCGTTTGAACTGCAAGGTCAGTGGTTCAAGCTCACCAGCTGCTCCTTGGAAACCCTAAACAGTATAGCTATAGGTCGGAATCGACTCGATGGCACTGAACAATAGTATGATGGCCGAGTCCTGCTGTGGCGGTGTGGGTTAATGCGCTGGACTGCAGAGTCCGCTTGATCCGGGAGGCCTGCGGTTCAAGTTCACCAGCTACTCCTCGGAAACCCTACACTGGGGTTGCTATGGGTCGGAACCCGACTTGACGGCACGTAACAACAATGTGATGGCTTTGAGTCCTGTGATGGCTCTCAGTCCTTGTGGGGTTAAATAAGCTGGCCTGAAAAGTTGGCGCGGTGGCTCAAGCTCACCGGCTGCTCCACGGAAACCCTATACAGGGTTGCTATGGGTCGGAACCGACTCGATGGCACTTAAGAACAACAATGCGATGGCTGGAATTGCGGTTGCCTTGGCAAGGCCGGGCATTCCCCACCCCTGATATGGACTCTTCAATCAACCGCCTAGTAACTTGACTCTCCCTTCAAAAAGCCCCAAGGGCACACCACCCAAGATTGTCCTCCTGTTTGAGGATGCTTGTTGTCTTGCTCTAACTGGCCAGCCTCGGTAGGGAGGCAGCTCCCCGCGTGTGTGGACGGTGTACGTATGGAGGAGACGACGAGCTCCACCTTCACAGCATCCTCTTTGAAAAGCTCTAATTACTTCTTTGTCCTCTAGGTTCCCTTCTCTCCTTCACCCAATCAGACGAGGCCCGGGTGGTTGTTTGTCCACCTGTTCCCACTCCTCAGAGTTTGAATGAGGCGGCGCCGCAGAGTTCTCCCAAGTTATCCACACACCGATACCCCCAACCCCAAGTCTCTTTCCACCCTTTCGACACCTGACGCTCCCGGTCCCTCTCCCCGGACGGGAAGTATCTGCCCGATCGCCCTCACCTGGGTCATCCTCGTCGCGGGGCACCTTCTTGAAGCAATCGTTGAGCGACAGATTGTGACGGATGGAGTTCTGCCAGCCGGCCTTGCTGCGCTGGTAGAAGGGGAAGCTGTCGGCCACGAACTGGTAGATGTGGCTGAGCGTCAGCTTGCGCTCGGGCGCGCTCTGGATGGCCATGGCGATGAGCGCCGAGTATGAATAGGGCGGCCGCACCATCTTCATGAGGTCCTCACGGCTGGCCATGGACAGCCAGCCCAGCTCGCCGGTTGCCCCGGGGCCCGCGGGCGAGGCTGGAGCTGCCGGCGCTGGCTGCGCGAAAGGCCGCTGCGCGCAGCCGAAGGTGCCGGCGGCCGACGGTGGCTGCAGGAAGGGCCCGGCCGCGCTCCCGGGGGGCGGTGGAGGCGGCGGGGCGCCCAGGTACGCGGCGGCGGTGGGTGGGCCGCCCACGCCGGGCCCGTTGAGCCACAGATAGGGGTTGGCGGCGGCGGCCGGCGGCGTGGTGTAGTCGGCCAGCCCGTAGGGCGCCCTGGCAGTAGGGGGGGCGCCTGGGGCGGCGGCAGCTGCGGTCGGGGGCAGGCCGGGCTGCGAGTACACCCCGAAATTATCACCGCAATAGAGGGCCATAGCTGTGGCCGTTGATGGGTGAGGAGTGGTCGCAGCGAGGGGCGAGCGGGGCGTGCTTCGCCTCTCAGGCGAGAGCATCCCTTAGCGGGCCAATTTGACAGCCCCTCCGTAGTTTTCTCTCGACGATAGGGGTAGAGGGTGTGCGCAGAGCGTCTGCCTGCCGGCCTCTTATAGCAGTCTGCCTCGCGGCTCCTCCCGGCTCAGCACCCAGGCTGGGCGGCGGCCCGCGGGCGGGGACTCTCCACGCCCCCGCCACGCCCCACCTGCCCGCGCTCCCGGGGCAGAGCGCGCGGAAACCTTCATTCCCGACTAGCTCCTGGAAGCCCTAGGAAGGCGGAGATTCAGCTTCCAGGTTTAAGTCTAAAAGCACTTGGTGCCTAGCTAATGTGTTCTTTCTTTACACACCATAAAATAAGGTATACGAAAACAAAGGAAAGTTATTCAAGACAATACATACATTTTGGTAAAAGTCTGTAAGGTAACTTTCGGTTACCTACCTGGATCCTCTGGTGATTTTTTACCTTAAGCCTCTAAACCTTTTGTGATCGAGTTGCAGAATTCACTGGTTTCAAGGGACCTGTTTAAAATAATAAACGTGAATGGCACATTCCCTTTGGTCTATTGCAGAATGAATTAACGGGCTCCCCTGATCTGTCTTCGTTTTCGGGGATTCTGCGACCCGCGGGACTTTGAAATCAATTCTTAATTCTAAGCGAAATATATATATTCGTTCACTTTCAGCAAGAATTTGTTCATGTTTATGCCCGATTTGTGCGATCTTTTAGTGTGATTTGTTGTCTCTAAAAACAAAAGCGTGAACGGTTTCAAAGACATTTATCAAGTGGTTTTGAAATTAGCATTTTAAAGCCAACTGTAATTTAAACTTTGCTGTTAGCGTTCGTTTACAAAAGCACAACTCATCGAATTATGGTATGATTTGCTTTTTATTTTTGTAACCTTTCAAATGCCTGGAAAAAAATGAACAAAACAGTAAAAATTTTACGGTGGCGATTCCGCACGCCACACAATCATGTTTATTGACTGAAAGCAACAGCAATTAAATAATTATTTCTTTTACAATGAAGATTAAATGTGCTCTTAAAAAGTGCCTGGTCTGACGTTCTCTTTGAGACAGGGAGGGAAAAAGTTTTGCGTGTTTGTGTGTGTGTGTTTTCTGTTACCAATCACAGACTGACCATTTAGAATATTTAATAATTAGGAAAGTTCTTCTCTGGACTTATTTTCATGATAAAGTAGCTAGGTATTTTAGGTAAAATGATAGTCTTCTGGTATCTCCCCTCTTAAAAAATGAAATCCAGAAATATTTAATTAGCAAATGTTGGCACTAAAGATGCAAAATCACACTTCAAGTGTAATTATTTAGTCCTGTGTTCTTTGATGTGGTGAAAAACATGTGAAACTGTTCACTACAGATTAGTAAGTGAGCACAAGTAAGCCCTTGTTTACCTTGCTTATTGTGTAATCCACCGCGGGAAAGGAAAGAAATGGTAAGTTTCGTTTCTTTTAGGGGGGTAGTATGTAGAATGATAACTATAACCCAGGAAACTAGAAAACGATTTTTATCAAGTTATGATGTCCACATTAAGGAATCTTGGTGGCACAGTAGTTAAAGTGCTTGTGTGACGAGTGAAAGGTTGGTGGTTGGAACCTACTAGCTGCTCCGTGGGAGAACGATGTGGCAGTTTCCTTCTATAAAGATTACCAGCTTGGAACCCCTATAAAACTGTTCTAATCTGTCCTATGGGTCAAAACAGACGGTTTTTAATGTCCACGTTTAATATTTATTCTAAAATTTAAAGGTCAAAACCAAAAAGAGAAAGTTCAAAAAAAAAAATTGGAAATCTATATGGCAATAAATTAGGATTTTTAAATTAGGACATTTTTTAAACAGTCTTCCTTTGAGTCATTATGATAAGATAATACCTTCCTTATCTTTTAGCAAATTTCTTGCTCATAATACTTCGAGAAAGTGAGTAGATGCTTGAAGGTTAGCAGTTTTTAAAAATCTAATTCTTTAACCAACACTTCCAAATTATTTTGAATGGAAAGTCATGATTGCAGACTGTTTGTTGCTTTGATTAAAGTTTATACCTCTTAAGTGCCATCAAGTGTATTCTGACCGATAGCTATCCAGTATAGGGTTTCTGAAGGGCAATTGATGAGTTTGAACATCTGACCTTGTGATTCAAACCGACCTTGCAGTCTAGTGCTTTATCTTACAGCATCACCCCAGGACTCCAAGGTTATACCTAGTAGGATTATTTTGTTCCTTTTTTATGTTATCTTTTTTGAACTTTTATTTTGTTTAAAGGAGCCCTGCAGGTGTAGTGCTTGAGCGCTTGGTGTTGGTGGTTGGAACCCAACAGTCCCTTCTTGAGAGAAAAATGTGGCTGTCGGATTCCCTGGAAACCCTATGAGGCAGTTCTAGTTTGTCCTCAAGGCAAACTAGTTTGTCCCTGAGTTGGAATCTGCTCACAGGCAAAGGGTGTGGGTAGTTTTGTTTTAAAATGACAGAGCCACCTAGCGGATCTTTGCCTATATTACAGCACACAACTCAGGATCTGTGGGGTGGACACTTCATCTAGGGATTTGGAAGTTACATTTTCCTGTTTTATCTTGTTGTTAAGTGCCGTCAAGTCGGTTCCAACTCATAGCGACCCTGTATAGGGTTTCCAAGGGGTGGCTGGTGAGGTTGAACAGCAAACCTTGTGGTTCAGTGTTTTATCTATCATGATCTCTGTAGGGTAAAACATATATATAGTCGTGGTGTGACGCTGTGGGTTAAGGGTTAATGCGCTGGACTGCAAAGTCGTTTGAACCGCAAAAGCTGCAGGTCAAGCTCACCAGCCGCTCCTCAGAAACCCTATACAGGGTCGCTATGGGTCGAAACCGACTCGATGGCACTTTGAACAACAAAATGCTTGAGACTCCTGGTGTGGCGCTGTAGGATCAGCACTGGACTTCGAATCACAAGGTCAGCAGTCCAACCCACCAGCTGCTCCTCGGAAACCCTATACAGAGTTGCTATGGGTGGAAACAGACTGAATGAATGGCACTTAACAGCCACAATATATATATATATATTGTTGAAACAGAACTCAGAAGGGCTTGTCATATGTTCTCTTCACTGTGTCTAGGTGTTGATGAGGAAGCCCTGGTGGTGCAACGGTTAGGTGCTCACCTCCTAACTGAAAGGTCTGTGGTTTGAACTCACCACCCTACCCAAGGGAGAAAAGCCCAACAGTCTGCTTCCACAAAGATTACAGTCTCTGAGTCCCTGTGGGGGCAGTTCTTCTCCTTTGATTGCACTTTTGGGTGAAGCTGTATGGAGCAGATTAGTTTTCCATTTAATAATTTGTATACATTTTGTTTGTAACATTAGTTGTGATAGACTCTCAATGTAACAGCACTACACTTTTCCTGCCTTCTCCCTGGGTTCCCTGTTTCTTTCTTTCCTGCCCCTTCCTGTCTTCAGAGTTTGTTTTTCCTGGTGGGCCTAGTAAATTAAGCACTCCTTAGTTTTCTTGGCTGTAATCTTTATGAAATCAGATTACCAGAACTTTCTTCCTGTGAACCACTGGGTTCACACCACCAACCTTTCATTTAGTTAGAGCACGAATCATTTGTGCCATCCAGGATCCTATTACTTGAGCTACTGTTGTGTTGTTGTTGTTAGGTATCATCGAGTCGGTACCATAGCAACCTTATGCACAGCAGAACGAAACATACTGTTGCCACGCTTGAGTCCATCAATGCTGCCACCTGGCCAATCCATCTTGTTGGGGGTCTTCCTCTTTCTCTCTGGCCCTCCACCTTACCAAACATGATATCCTTCTCCAGTGACTGGACCCTCCTGACAGTATGTCCAAAGTTTGAGAAACAAAGTTTGGCCATCTTGGCCTCCAAGGAGCACTCTAGCTGCACTTCTTCCAGAACGGATCTATTGGTTCTTTTGGCAGCCCATGGCACCTTCAGTACTCTCCTCCAACACCATAACTCAAAAGCATCAATTCTTCTACGGTCTTCCTTATTCACTGTCTAGCTTTTGCATGCATATGAGGTTATTGAAAATACCATGGCTTGGGTCAGGCGCACCTTAGTCCTCAAGCTGACATCTTTGCTCTTCAACACTTTAAAAAGGTTTTGTGCAGCAGATTTGCCTAATGCAATACATCGTTTGATTTCTTGACTGCTGCTTCCATGAGTGTTGATAGTTGATCCAAGAAGAATGAAGTCCTTGACAACTTCTAGTTACTTAATATTTTCTTTTAATTGATTCAACTTTAAAATTTTTATTATATGAAAAGGAAACCATGTAGCAATACTGTTAATAAAAACAGTATTAAAGTGCAAAGTGTATCACTTGCCATAAATAAAAGGTAAACAGTGTAAATGAATCACTGATGTTAATGATAAAATGATTCCATTTAATGATGCTAATATTCTCTAAAATTTAAGAACATAAATAGTGTAATGCAAAAGTAGTAAACCTAACTGATGAACAAAGATACAAGCCTAAAAAGAAATTCTTCAGTAAGAATAGAATTAATTATAGTGAATTGAGATTCAGTTAAATGATGTTTATTTGAAAATTAAAGTGAAGTTCTACATCAGTAAAACAAATTCAGGGGACCATCAAGGGAGAAGAGTGGAGAGCGGGACCCTACCCAGAGAAGCAGTGATGCCTGAGATGGAGGCAGAGATGATGACTTGAACAGATGGAGCAGCTGGGGACTTTAGACACAGAGAGGGAGAGGGACTGTGTGTTGATGACCGGGGAGCAGGCTTGCAGGGTGTACCCTTTGGTTGGTTGACGATACATGGAGGGGATTGTAACCATGGCTATGAAATGATATACGATAGGATGAATGTAAAATTAATGTTCTCCCATGTAAACTATCACATAATTCACAATAAAACATTAAAAAAAAATTCTAGTTTTTGAACTTTCTTTTGGCCAAAATGAAGAATTACAACTC